TATCCCAAGACTAATCATCCTCAACCCATGTTCCACTTTACAGATGCACTCAGGCTGAGGAGACGGACAAGACCCCAAACCACAAGCGTGGACCACTGCGGGCCTGTTCAAGTAGTTGTTGGACGCGAGCCTCAGGGTCAACGAACCCAACAGCTCTCGACAGGTTCAGGGTTTGATGCCCAGGGCTTCAGGAAGCCAATACCTGAACCCTTAAACCCCAAAGCCTGCTGCCCTCCTCTTCCTCCACTGCAACCGACCTCCCGTTGAAACCCTGGGCCTCAACCCAAAACCAACCCCTGGCCTCACCTACATTGAGACGCATATTAAAAGTAATACATGTTGAGACCTATGCGAGAAATAAAGCCGAAACCCTTAGCCCTTAACAGCCCTAAGCGCCCTAAACTCCATGCCCCATGCCCGGATGCATGCTGTTGCGCTGTACTCCCACATTCTCAGCATCGTACCTCTATCGCCGGCTCGAAGAGCCGTCCCTGGCGAAAGAGCGGTTTGCAGGTAAAGATAGCCAGGGGTGCGAGATTTCGAGCTGTAAGGAAGTACCTCCGGCTTTGCCTTAGGGTGTTTTGTATCAATGCAGCCCGCACGGCAGCCGAGAATAGTACCTGCACTGTAACCTGGGCTTGGGAAGGTACCCAGTTCCGTTTCAAAGCCCGCGCTGCAGCCCCACTCGGCCCGACAACCTTTTCGGGGCTTACCAGGTCCGGCAGGAAACCAACTGCAATCCCCCTGAAACCTTTCAGCAGTACCGCCCCAACAGTCAACCGCAAACCCCAACCTACTTGACGGATATCAGTACCATGCCAGGTCGCAGAAAGCACTGAGGGATGCTTCAGCCGTTGAGGGACCTGCAGCAAGGCTCCCGGTTGAGGGTTTCGGGTCCCTGAAACCAGCCACTTAAATGGCCAATCGGGTGCCGCTAGATATTCGTCCTTGGAACCCCAGAGCGTTTCCATCAATGTTCACAAGCGGGCCCTAGAAACAGGGGCCTTAAGATTCGAAAAGATGGTGCATGGCACTCACAAGGCTTTCGCAAAATCGCTCGAGTTCAGCATGATGTACCAAAACCGGACCTGTTCTCACTAGTAATAGCCAAAACTCAATCATCAATTTCGAAACCCTGATGCCTACTCCGTGCCCCGTCGAAACTGCCAAAACACTGGGAACACAGTCCTGTCTTCTAGCATCAACCTGTCAATTAGTGAAACATCAGCAGTCCACTCAACAGGTGTGTGCGTGTGTATA